GGCTCAGCAGGTAAGAGCACTGACTGCTCTTGCAGAGGATCTGGGTTCGATTCCCAGCACCCACATGGCAGCTACGAACCGTCCTTAACTCCAGTTCCAGGGGAATCCAAAGCCCTCTTCTGACCTCGGAGGCATTGCACGGCACAGGTGCACATACATGCAGGCAATACACTCATATTCATAAAATAAAAATAATAAAATAATTTAAAAAGCGGGGGGTGGGCTTACACTGTAGACCAGGTAGGCCTGGAACTCATGGCAATCCTTCTGCCTCAGCTTCTCGGATACTGTGATTATAGGCGTGTGCCACCACATCAGCCTGGGAGGCTCCATTGACCCAGTGCCACCTCTGGGTGCTCTGGCCCCTCCCCCAAACTTACAGCCTGGCCTGGGCCACCCCAAGCTCACCAGGAGAAGTAGGACCACCAGAGGCAACCAGCCAGATGCACCAATGGATCCTTGTATTTCCTGTCCTCTCTCCAGCTCTGTGCAGCCCTACAGCCCTGGGGGATCCAGTCCTGCAACCTCCGGAGTCAACATGGCCAACAGCATCGCCAGCCTCCGCCTCAAGGCCAAAGAGTTCAGCCTACACCACAGCCAGGTGCCCACGGTGAACTGATGGTCAGCGTGCACCAGGCCTGGCCTCCTTCCTGGCCCAGCAACAGACAGCGATGAAGCAAGTGGGCTTTTCTGTCCCTGTCCCCAGACAGGCTGGACAGTCTCTCCTAGGCCTTCTCTCCATTCCAGCCTCCTGAGCTCCAGAGGCCTACTGGGTACCAGGAGCCCATCTCAGCACCTCTCTGCCTATGGTGGCTGAGGCCACAGCCTGAGGCTCTTGGAGCAGCTGGGCTGGAAGGCGGAGCAGGAGTCCGCCAAGGACCTCACTTGTGTATTAAAACCAAAAAGCTTTTGTCCTTAAGGAATAAAACCATTTTTCTTAAGTTCCAGGAGACTTCAGAAGGGCGAGATGGGAGCAGATGGATGGGCAGGGCTGCTGAGAGGGAGCCAGGACCCGGCCTGGCTAGATGGTAGTCCACAGCCTTCCTGGCCTGCAGTATTCTCCAGGTGGCCCTGGGCCTGGCCTGGCTCACACAGCAGCCTCTGTGGGGCCCATTGCCTGCACACCTGTGCTGTTTTTTGGCTGTGGTCCTCTGTCACCCCACACAGCCCTTGGGTGGGGAGAGGGGCCAGAGACAGAACCAGCCCCAGGCTTCATCTCCCATTCTCAGTCCTGAGGAAATACTTAGGGTTTTCGGGGAGAGTCACCCTATTGGGTGACTGACTAGGACACATCTCTCCCACCCCACCGGGTATGGACAGGATGTGTGACCATGAACTCCTAAAGTGTGGGGGAAGGTGCTAGTATTAAATTCCTGCTACTGGGCACGCAGAATCGTGATGCCTTCTGGGCACTGGACTGTGGAGGGGTGCCCTCGTTTCCAGTTGCTGTGACAAAATACTCTTATGAAAAGGTATTTAAGGAACAAAGGGTTTATTTTAACTCTCACTTCTAGGTCACAGCCCACCATTACAGAGAAGTCTAGGTGGCAGACACCTGAAGCAGCTAATCGCATCCCCAGTATGAGCAGAGAGAGATCGGATGCATGCATGCTTCTCGGGCTCAGGCCCCTATCCACACTCACATAGTCTAGGTTCCAGGGGATCTGGAACCCTCTTCTGGATTCCGAGGGCACACATACGTCATTCTCCCTGGGGGATTGGTACCTGCAACAGTCCGGCCATAGGATGCTGAGCAGCCTGAAGTAGCACCCCTTTTGTCCTTGCTAAACTGAGAGTGAGCAAGGGAGCAGGCCTTCCTAGGTACTGGTCAGGGCCCCAGAGCTCAGTGGACACTCATCTCATAGTTCTACTTAACACACACACACACACACACACGTATTTTGTTTGTGTATGTATGTGTCCACTTGACTATATATATGTGAACCACATAGGTACAGATGCCTGTGGAGGACAGAAGAAGGTGTTGGGTTCCCTGGAACTGGAGTTGAACCCGGGTCCTCTGCAAGAGCAGCAAGTGCTCTTAACCGCTGAGCTGTCTCTCCAGCCACCTCTCTCTCTCTCTCTCTCTCTCTCTCTCTCTCTCTCTCTCTCTCTCTCATCCCCAAAGGAGATGTCACAAAGAGTTGAAAAGACAGGGCCAGGGCTGCAGACAGCTCAGCAGTGAAGGGCACTGACTGCTCTTGCCGAGGACCCAGATTCCCACATGGCAGCTATGAACCGTCCTTCACTCAGTTCCAGGGGAATTCAAAGCCTTCTTCTGACCTCTGCGGCATTGCAGGACATGGGTGCACTCACATACATGCAGTTATACACATGCACTTATACACATATAATAAATAAATAAAATAAAATATTTTTTTAAAAAAAAAAAGGGCAGCCGGCCTGTTGCAGACCTGGGGTCCCACAGGGTGGGGGGTCTGGAAGGTGGGCCCCGGAAACTCCAGTTTTGGAAAACGCCAGAGGCCCTCTTCCCATGAATGGCCCAGCCATCAGACCGCGAAGATGTCAATGTCACTTCCTCTCCAGTGCTCTAGAAAAAATAAACCGACTTAATAGTTTTCACATGCTGCTCCAGTGGGGTGCTGAGGGCGGGGCACACAGCCTCAGGGCAAAACAGAAACCCAGCACTGCTGACCTGCCGCGCCTAACTGCAGGTCTGTGTGGCCTGCTTCCTGGGCAACATTCTCAGGCTGCCATTTGACTACAACACCAACATACCAGAGACCCCAGGCCAGCTCAGCCCAGGAAGACTTGGACTAGTCGTACCCGGTCCCCCATAGCCTTTGCCTGTTTGACCAAAGGAAGAAGGCACTGTGTTTGCTTTTGCTTTTATTTCTTGAGAGAGGAGAGAGAGAGAGAGAGAGAGAGAGAGAGAGAGAGAGAGAGGAAGGGGGGAGGCTTGGAAAAAACAAAACCAAAAAAAAAAATCACCTTGAGTAAGGCCTTTCTCTGGGCCTTGATTTTTCTTCTCTGTGAAATGGAGAGGTAACAGAGCCTGGAGCACAGTGTCTGACAGAGCCATGCACCATGAACTGGCAAGGCAGGGGTTCTAGAGGGGGGACAGTTTTGTTTCTTGTGGTTTATTTTTCTTTTATGTGTATGAGTGTTTTGCCTGCATGTGTGTAAGTACACCACATGTGTGCAATGCCCTCAGAGGCCAGAAGAGAGCATCAGATCCCCTGGAACTAGAGTTATAGACAGTTATTACCCACCATGTAGGTGCTGGGAACTGAACTGGGTCCTGTGCAAGAGCAGCAAGTGCTCTTAACTACTGAGCCATGTCTCCATCCCCAGTTTGGTGTTTTACTTCTATTTTATGAGTGTATTGCCTACATGTATGTAAAGGCACCTGTGTTGTGCAATGCCTGCAAAGGTCAGAAGAGGGCGATGGATTCCCCTCGAACTGGAGTTACGGATGGTTGTTAGCTGTCATGTGAGTGCTGGGAATCGAACCCTGATTCTCTGTGGAGCAGCCAGTGCTCTTAACCACTAAGCCATCTCTCCAGCAACCTCCCCCCTTGTTTTGGTCTTTTTGAGTCAGGGTCGCCCTGTATCCCCAGCTGGCCTAGAGCTCGCTATGTAGATCAGACTGACCTCAGATTAACAGAGATCTGTCTGCTTCTGCCATCCTAGCAGTGCTTGAATTAAAGGCATGCACCACCATGCCCGGCTAACCCAACACCTTTAAAACAAACAAACAAACAAACAAACAAAACAAAGCCTCACATAGCCCAGGTTGGCTTCAAACTCTCTAACTGGGATGGCAATGCAACTTCTGATTGTCCTGCCTCTACCTCCCAAGTACTGGGATTGCAGATATGAGATTTCTAAAATTGGCTGTGAGCCTCATGTGGTAGTATAGACCAGCTGTAATTTCAGCATTAGGGAGACTGAAGCAGGAGGATTACATCGAACTTGAGGCCAGCCTGGGCTACATAGTAAGTTCCAGGCCACCCTAGGTTACAGGATGAGACTTTAAAGAAATGGAGGCGAGTCAGTGTGGTGGCACACACGGGTAATGTGAGTCAGGGGTGGCATACACCTGTAATATGAGTCAGTGTGGTGGCACACACCTGTAATGTGAGTCAGGGGGTGGCACACACCTGTAATGTGAGTCAGGGGGTGGCACACACCTGTAATGTGAGTCAGTGTGGTGGCACATGCTTAATGCATGCAGAGGCCTGGGTAAGCACATGCCAGTGCACCCTGGGAAAGTGATTACCTCACAACCAGCCATCTCCTTGGTGCATGCCTGCAATTCCAGCACTTTGAAAAAAATTTCTAACTCAAGGCCAGCCTGCTCTACAGGACGAGACCCTCAGACTCACAGGCCAGCAAAATGACTCAGTAGATAAAGGGACTTGCTGAGCCTGATGACCTGAGACCCACATGGTGGAAGGAGAGAACCAGCTTCTCAAGGTGTCCTCTGACCTGCACATATGTGATCGCATGTGTGTACCCACATACACACAGACACAGACATACATATGTACACACACAAAATAAAGAAATGTGAATGTGTGCTGGCTGGAGCCAGGTACTTGCCCTACCATGGGGGCTGGAGCAGAACAGGCCTTTAGGCCTTGTCCCTCAGCTCCGGCCAGTTGCCCTGCTGGAGCCAGTGTCCCCACCTCTCTCCATTTCTTGGACACAGCTAGGATACTCCACTGTTCAAACCACTTGGAAAGCAAAGGCCATATCACAGCCTACTGTGCCCATTTGTCCAGATATCCACCTACCCCCAGTCCCCGCTGCTACCTTAGTGACCCTCTTCCTCTGACTCCCTTCCAGGCCCCAGCTTCCCAGCCACAGGCCCAGGACCAGGTTCTTCCTGCCTTCACACTAGGATTTCTTGTTTTTGTTTTTGAGACAGTGTCTCCCTATGTAGCCTCTGCTGGCCTGGAATTCGATATGTAGACCAGGCTGGCCTCGGACTAACAGAAATTCACCTGCCTGTGCTTGGATGGTTTCTTTGGTTTAGTTTCTTGAGACAGCATTTCACACCAGGCTGGCCTTGACCCTGTTATGTAACTGAGGCTGGTCTTGAACTTCTGACCCTTCTGCCTCAGCCTTCCAAGTGCTGGGATTACAGGAGTGCAGATCATGCTTGATAACACTTGAATTTCTTTACACTTCCAGACTAAGGCCAGTGTGACTCACCTCCCCATCGGAACTCAGCGACCACTGGCCTTCCAGTAGGGGTCAGAGGGCCCCTGAGCTCCCAGCCCTCTTTCTCCAGAAGACACTGAGCACTTGGGGATGTCACTGTCCCTTGCCCTGCAGCCCTTCCCACAGTAGTGCCAGGGCTCAGAAGGTACTGCTGGAGTGGACAAACGTGGGTGGTCCTCAAGGTCTCTGAGGGGGCTTGCTCTATCATCCAGGCCTCAGGTCACAGTCATCATGGGTGATACACGTCTCTACTCTGTGCAACCCAGTTTCTGACCAGAATGCACGGCCCTCGCAGCCCTGCCTTCCCCAGGAGGGACAACAGACAAAAGCTTGCACACCCAGCAGAGCCAGTTTCCTCTGACCTAGTCACGGGAAGTCACCTCTCCTCTTGGAGCCCTGTGTCCCTCATCTAAAATGCAGAAGTGCCTCCTTCTTGAAATAGGATATTTTAAGTCGGGAAAAACTGAAGGTACCGTCCAGCTCAAAGTTCAGCAAACAGCTGGCACTCAAAACACTGCCTGCCCCTCCTGTTTCTTTTCAGATAAGCAGCAGCTGAGGTCCAATAGGCAAGGTTTCATCTCACCACCAGAGGGCGGTGCCGTTCACTCCCAGAGCCCAGGGCCGAAGCAGCCCAGCCTACCTGGCCTTTCCAATGTGGCTTGGAGTCCCCTGGGAGGTCCCCACAGAGCAGGTTTCATCGGTTAGGGAGCACAGCGCCTGCAGTGCACTGGATGGTTAGGGATGGGACTTTGTGGTAGGGACTGTGCTAGGGGCCTCACTGTCCCAGGTTCGAGAGCCAACCCTATGTGTCAAGGTGGTAACTCCTTGAGCCTCAGTGTTTCCATCTGTAGAATGGGAAATAGCATCATGAGTTGTCAGGGCGGCAGGGAGGGTAAGCTGGGAAGTCAGGGTTAGGGCATTCCTGAGTGCTAAGCCAGATAACATCTTATCTGGGAGCCCCTTGTAGGAGGCAGGGATCGCCTTGGAGTTGCCTCCTGGCGTGTCAGTTCCATAGACAAGGTGCCTGTGAGGGCTTGCTGAGAATGTGTCCTGCTGGCTGGGTCCCAGACAACCCACTCACTAAAAAGCCATTCCAAAGAAAGCCTGCTGTAACAGTGTATGTCAGCAATCCCCAATCTCATGGTGGAGGCAGAAGGATCAGGTGATTAAGGTTGTCCTTGGCTACACGAGATCCTGTCTCGAAAAACCAAAAAATAGGGGTTGGAGAGATGGCTCAGTGGTTAAGAACACTGGTTGTTCTTGCAGAAGACCCAGGTTTGAATCCCAGCACCCAACATGACAGCTATCAACTGTCCATACCTCCAGTCCCAGGGGATTCGACAGCCTCTTCTGTCCTCCAAGGGCACTGCACGACATAGGTGCACTTACCTACATGCAGGCAATACACGCATACACATAAACTTTTTTTTTTTAAAAAAAAAAAAAGAGGAAAAACGGAAAATAGAACAAAAACCTACCAAGACCCAAAAACGCAGAGCCAGCGTCAGGCTAGCTTGGACAATGTGGCCACTGGAAACAAGTGACATGGAGAGGTTCACGTATCAGACACTGCCGTTTAATGATTAGGAGGAGAGTCTCGGGGATACCACATATGCACACACAAGGTTCCTCATAGGAGTGGACATCTTAAGTCTTCAAACCTCACAGGCATTAAAGGGACCAAAGGCCCCTTTCAGTGGTCACTCAAAGCTCATTGTTTATGACTGACAGCCGTTTTTGGAGGGCTAAGGCCTTGAACAAGCAGGAGGGCCTTACTGTGACTGTTCCCACGCACTCCCAGCCTGTCTGTGTAGTAAGGTCTTCAGAGCAAAGGGTAAGGAAACATCAATAGAGGACAAAGCAGCTCAAGCCTGTCTGCCTCAGCCAATGCCCTCCACGAAAACACAGAGTGCCTCCGCTGTCCTGGGCCTGGAGCTGGCCATCGCTGGGCTTCACGTGGAGCTCAGTCTAGGCTTGTCTCCAAGGGCTGAGCCAGAATCTTGGGTTGGTCTAAAAAGTCTGCATTTTGGAGCCTGAATTGGATGATGGCTGGGTTTGAGAATCATTCGTGACGGTCCCCCTCTCTCTCTTCACTCGTTTAAAGCTCTTATGAGATGAAAGATGTTCTGTCAATTTTGACAACTCATCTATCCGTGGTTGTACTTGGCAACTTTATCTAGGAGCCCAAGACACTAACACACACACACACACACACACACACACACACTCTGGGCCCAGGGATCCACACACTCAGATGACCAGGAGCCCTATTCTAGACACCACGTCCCCAGGTTCAGCCTCAGTGGCTCATGGCCCACAGCATGGTGGGCAAGCAGGCATCAGCTCCCGGTCACAGGTGTCGGACCGCTTCCCAGAGGATTTGCAGAGCCATGGAGACACAGGCCACCTGGGCCAGCACGTAGGACCCAGAGCGGATTCGGGGACTCAGCTTGCCCAGGTAGGTCACGGTGTGCACCATGCGACCCGTGAGGACGACGAGGAAGTGTATCCAGGCAACTGAAAGGTTAGGTCCCAGGAGTGAGTAGACGAAGCCCAGGAAGAGGAATGGGTAGATGTTTTCCATATCATTCCTGTGGACCCTGGGGAGCAAAGGGGTACAGTCAGAAGTCAGGTCTGGGCCCCCAGCGCCCCTGAGGTATTTCACCCCTGAAGGATCCAAACCACTGCAGATCTTTCAGCCTCCAAGGAACCCAAATCCCTTCCTGACCAAGAAACGAGATGCTGTAGAGCCGAGGGGACAGTGACCCCAAGTTCCTGCTCAGAAGTGGCTGAGGCACAAAGCCCAGTTAACAAGTCACTGCTGGCTCCGGGCTTCTTCATACATCAGGGCTTATGAGAACCTGGCTCCTCTCACCTTCTTCACATCCTCCCTTATGGTCCTTAGACACCAGACAGGAAAAGGAGGACTTCTGATTGGTGTTCTCTGAGGCAGGGCTGCTGGGAGTCAGGCCTGAGGCTACTCAACTTCTAAATGCAGGCTTCGGCCTGCCCAGTGCTGGTCTGTCTTGTTCTGCCCCCAAATCTGAGCATCAATTTTTTTTGGGGGGGGTCTTTTTGAGACAGGGTCTCCCTGTAGCCCCAGCTGGCCTGGAATTCACTATGTAGACCAGGCTGGCCTTGAACTCACAGAGATCCACCTGCCTCTGCCTCCCAAGTGCTGGGATTAAAGGCGTGCGCCACCATCAATTTTTTTAAGGATAACCATAGGATCCCTCCCCTTACCAGCCCAGCAAAGTATGGGGCCCCAGCCAAGCCTTCCCCCTTCATGCGTGCTGTCTAACTCTTAGTTTTGTTTAGAGGAAGGGAGTGTGAGCATACATGGTGGGGGGCTGTGTATAACCCTGCCATAAATAAATGACCAAGGCAGAAAACTCTTGCCCGCCGCACTCAGTTTCCATGACCTCGATGGATGGTCGTCTTTCTCTGAGATGGATGGGAAGTTGAATTCCATAAACTCAAGAATGAATGCCTGAGGCCATAGACGGCTATGCTGGACACTCAAATAAACAGGAACTAAGTGCCCGAGCCATGACCTCCCCCAGGACAGGCCCCTTGTGTGCAGCGTGGAGACTCCAGGGCTTCCAGCTGGAACGTATCTAACAGCATCAGGCCCAGTGCTGGCCAGGCCCAGCCTGGGGGTGGTGTGTGTGTGATGACCGGCTGAAAGGCCTCCCCTTGTCTCCCTCTGGAAAAATGAGTCCTACTAAGGGCCATGGGGTGTTGCTTAACTGAAAGTGGGCAGAGCATAGTGGGGCCTGGCGTACCCAGCACCCCAGCGCTGTAGGGAGGGAGCCTTGGCAAGGTGGCTGGAACAGCAATAGTCAGGAGAGATATTTGTGTTACAGCCTGAAGCTAACCATGCAGAGGAAGGACCTCGGTGGAGAACAATCATCATGCAAAGGTCCTGGGAGTAGGAACACCATGGTGTGCTCAAAGCAGACCCATTTGTGAGGCAGATCAATGAGAGGGGCCTGGTAACACAGGCAAAAAATGAAACTCACTCCAAGGGTATAAAAACTCCCATAAGCTGGTGTGGTGGCGCACGCCTTTAATCCCAGCACTTGGGAGGCAGAGGCAGGCGGATCTCTGTGAGTTCAAGGCCAGCCTGGTCTACATAGTGAGTTCCTCCAGGACAGCTGGGGCTACAGGGAGACCCTGTCTCAAAAAGACCAAAAAAATAAGACCAAATAATACAAACAAACAAACAAATGAAACTCCCACAGAGGGCTGGGCTATAGCTCAGTCAGTACAGGGCTTGCCTAGTATATACAAAGTCCTGGGTTTGAGCCCCACACCAAATAAAGTAGGATGCACTGGGAAACGCTCCACTCCACACTCAGGAGGGAGCAGAAGATCAGCGATTCCAAGTTAGGGACTGGGGAGATGGTTAAGAGCACATGTTGCTCTTGCAGAGGACCTGGGTTCAATTCCTAGCACCCACATTGGGCAGTTCACAATTACCTGTAACCCCAGTGAAGGGAATTCTGACTTCACTGGACTCCTGAATGCACATGGTGCACATACATACAGGCAAACATCAAACACAAAAGAAAAATAAATACATCTTTTTAAAGAGTTCAAGGTCAGCCCAGCATGGTAGTGCATGCCTTAATTCCAGCACTTGGGCGGAGGCAGAGGCAGGCGGATCTCTCTGAGTTCAAAGCTAGCCTGGTCTAAAAAAAGAAAAAGCTGGGTATAGCTAGGTGTGGTGGTGCATATACCTTTAATCCCAGCACTCAGGAGGCAGAGGCAGGGACTGAGCCCAACCTGGTCTACACAGTAAGTTCCAGGTCTGCTTTAGCTACAGGGAAACCCTGTCTCAAAAAAAGAAAACACACACACACACACACACACACACACACACACACACACCAAAACAATAAAAAATCAAGGACTGCCCAGACGGCTCAGCAGGTAAAGGTGCTTGCCACCTAGCCAGATAACGTGAACTTGATACCAGGAACCCACATAACACGAGAGAACTGAGTCTCCTCTGACCTCCTCCACATATACCCCATAGCATGCATATACACACACGATTATAATAATAATTTAAAAACCACCAAGTCAGGGCTGGAGAGATGGATCAGCAGTTAAGAACACTGACTGTTCTTGCAGAAGACCCGGGTTCAAATCCCAGCACCCACGTGGCAGCTAACAACTGTCGGTAACTCCAGTTCCAGGGGATCCAACTGCCTCTTCTGTTCTCTGCCAGCATTGCGTGACACAGGCAATACATGCATACACATAAAATAAAAAAAATTATAATAAATAAATAATTATAAAAGACTGTGTCTGAAAAAATAAAGACTGGAGATATAGTTCAGTTGGTACAGAGCTTGCATAGCAACCACAAGGTGGTCCTGGGTTCGATTCCCAGCACCAAATAAACAAGGTTAAGTGTACTTGACTATAACTCTAGCACTTGAGAGTTGGAGGCAGGAGGATCAGAAGTTCAAGGTCACCCTCAGCTACACAGAGTTAGAAGTCAGCCTGGGCTACATGAGATTTTCTCCAAAAACAAAACAACATGGCCAGACCTAAAGAGCAGGTGGGTAGAAGTTGGGGTCACAATGTGTCGAGGAGGAAGGCATGCTCCCTGCTTCAAGGCAGGTCCCAGGCTAGGGAGGTGAACCTTGCAGAGAAAGCAAACACTCACTTCCTTGCTTCTTGCTGCAGACACAGTGGTGACCCATGTGGGAGGAAAGGTGGTCAGGAGGAGCTGGAGCGCCCACCCTGAGTGTCCCTGTGTTCTGTCTAAAACCACAGAGGGGCCCCACAATGCCACATTGGTGCCAGGGGCAGGGAGGAATGGGGAAATTAGGATGTTGCAAAAAAAAAATAATAATAAAGCTCACCTCTCTCTTCCTCCCACAGTATCCAAACAGAGGCATGGAGGGAGTCACGTACTGAGGAGACACCAAGAAATGTGTCATTCCAATAATAACCACTGTTTTGAGGGGAAGTCGCCCAAAGCCAGAACCTACTGGACTGGACTTGCACAGCCCCCCCCGCCCCCCATGCTCCTGTGACATCAGGCCTGGGCTGGGCCTTCAGTACTCATTTCCACAGGGCTGTGTTACTGTTCGCAGTGGTGTGGGGGTGTGGGGGGGAACCTACAGTGACCCCAGGTCAGGGTAGTGTTAGCAGTGTGTCTCCCTCTTCGGGCTCCCTGCTCACACTGCCTGTGTCCTTGAGCTCAGGGTGACACAGCTGCCAAGCAGCAGACACAGGGGTGCGGGGGAGGGGAGTGAGGAGGCCACTCTGAAGTTCGGCCATCCTGCTCAGCTGGGTCACAGCATCAGCACCAAACCTAGGCAAACTGCTTCTATCTCTACAGACAGCATCACCCTCCTCGGTGTATTGTTGGGGTTGATGGGGGTGTTGGTACCCAGAGACACATGGGAAAACCAGATAGGTGGGCCTTAAGTTCGCTCCCCCATCATAATCAGCCCCATTACCAGTTTTGGTCTGGACACAGCTGTGATTGCTAAGTTCATTCTCCCAGAGCTGCTCACCTGCTCCAGGTCCTTGGTGACCCTCACTGCTCCAGATAGAAATGGGGACTCCACCAATGCCACTAACTAAAGCTCTCTGAGGTCTCAGGCAGATGTCCCTCCCTTTGTGGGACTGTGTCCACCATCGCCAAGTGGCCAGGTGGATGCACATAAGGATCTTCTGGAATTGGAGCCCGGAGGCCCAATTCCCTAACAAACTGCTTTCCTCAAGATTATGAGTGCTCATTCCAAATACCGAGAAATGACAGAAAATTGGGTTAGATGCTGTCCCTCCTCCCTGGGGCCTTGCAGGGCAGCTCTAGGTGGGGTTCCAAGCATGCAACCTCAGGTTTTGGTCAAAGGAGTCACTGTCCAGAAATGCAGCTGGGTGTTCTGGGAAGAAAGACTAACTGGGCTCCTTCCTCCCACCTTTCTTCCCTCCCTCCCTCCCTCCCTCCCTTCCTTCTTTTCTTCCTTCCTTCCTTCCATTTCCTAGGTTCTGGAATTTCAGGTTGAGTGCCACCTCACCTGGCCTGGGTCCTGTTCTTTAAATCTGATCCATGATTGCCAGGTTGGTTTCTGCTAATCTGCGAAGATTTATGCACCAAGATCAAGATTTCATGTTTCCTATGTGCACAGCAGGATGACCCTGAGGGCACCATAAGCCCTGGTCTAATATTTAACTATGTTCTCAGAGTGAACTTACTTTCTCTCTCTAGTTCCCAGTATCAGGAGTCTCTCAACTCTCTCTCTCTCTCTCTCTCTCTCCCCTCCCCCCTTTCTTTTTTTCACAGGGTCTCATGTAGCCCAGGCTAGCCTCTAACGTGATTGTCTCTGGTTCTGGAAACAGACCCCAGGACTTCCTGTATGCTAGTCAGTCACTCTACCAACTTGGGCTACATCTCCAGCCCCGTACCCTCCACTTTCTGTTATAGTCTATGAAGTGGGTAAAGGAGGCTCTCCAGGGACCCAGGTATCCAGTGCCCATCCCCAAAGAACCCAGTAAGTCCCAAATAAAGCTTCACTAAATGCACAGGAAATGCAGCTGGAAAACAGCCATCTAACCTCAGCACTAAATCCTACCAGGTGGGTGGAAACATCCAGGCCCCTAGCAGATCTGTCCTCCTCCCTCAGTCAGGTTATGCACTGGGAGGGAATAAAACACAACCCTATGGTGACTGCTGGGGGCTGGATTGGGTCTTCATGCCCTTATCAATGGCTCAGAACTGTCCAGAAAACCAGGGCTGAAGGTGAGCCACAGGTCACCAATATGGGGTCATGATTTGGGGGGACGATTGGCTCATAAAAGCACAGCTAGAGCCGGGCACATAGTAGGTGGTCATTAAAGGATGGGCAGGTGATGCGTCAGTGGAGCATCTGGAAGATGGCTTCCTGTGTTTCTGCTGGAAAGGGTAGAGTGGCCTGGAGTCTCACTTCCTAACACACATCGCTGTCATTCTTTAAAACCACAACTGTGTACATTATCATCAGTTAAGAAAAGCAAGAGGAAACCCTCTCAGACTTTGTTTTCAGAGGGGAATTTCTGTTTTCGAAGTGACAGTGTCCCACCCATTTCTGTCTGTGACGCATGCAACGTGTTGAGAACTAGCAGTTTGTTTCCTATTTTGCCCAGGTCCATCTGCCCATCCTCCTCGCTCCTGTCAATCCAGTGCCTCCTTCCTCATTCTGGATGGGTGGTAAATGGCAGAGGGATGTCCCCAAACTCTGCTACTGATCATGGCTAATGAAAGGTATAGCTTTCAGTGTCTGGGGGAAGTTTACATAGCTTATTTTTTTTTAAAGACTTTGTTTTGAGGCAGGGTTTTACTGTATAACTCAAACTAGCCTGGAGCCCAAGGCAATCCTCCTGCGTCAGGCTCCAGAGTGTTAGGATCATAAGTGTGTGCCATGATAACCAATCTCAAGACTCACTTTAAAAAATTTTAATTCCCTTCTGCATGAAATAACTTTGGCTGAGCCTGATCGCTAAACATAGTCACAATTGGGCTTGTTGACAGTTGTGCTCATTTATTAAAGGAATGCCAAGCAGGGTCACTGGACCCTCACCTAAGTATCCAGCCACTCTTCCCAGACAACTAGTCCAGCCTTGGAAGACAAAAGAAAAACTAGGAAGAACCTAATAGAGGGATGCTTTTGGAAGCCCTTGTCAAGAAACTCCAATGGACTTTCATTCTAGTTCCCTGTCTAGAACTTGTAATGCTAATTACTCTTGCCTTTACTTCTTCACATCTACTATTCATGATTCAAGGACTGTCTTCTTCCCTTAGAGAAAAGAATTATGCAGTTTGGGAGTCTTTTAGATAGACCCACTGAAGGGGTACTCCAACTGCCTCACCCTGCGTCCCTGTTCATCATGGAAGAAGCCAGAGCAGTCGGTGTCCCTACTCCCTATTAACAATTTGGGTAAACCCTTCAGAGGATGGTGTGATAAGAATAGAACGTAGGAATTGGCTAGGCAGTTAGTGTAAAAAGGCCCCAAAGAAATATAGCCAGTTTCTTGGCTAAAAGTCAAAATGTTCTTGGGCCTGTTAGTAACATACACCGTTCCAAAGGCCA